AAAAATTTAAATAAAATGTGTTAGTAAACATCCAATAATTTATGCATATATATAAATTATACATGTGTAGCACTATGCAGACATATCATGTAGATTACCAAAAAAAAGTGTGAAGGAAAGAAAAGCCCCAAAGAAAGACAAGTAGATATAGCCATGGTTTTTAAATTGATAAACAAGAACAGTCATACCCACAAACCTTTGTGACACCTTTGCAAACAAGGCTCTTACAAAACCATAATCAGTTAGTGGTGAACTTCACGTGAGACTTTACATCACAGGCCTTTTTTTTATTTAAGATTTTACGTATTTATTTGAGAGAGCGCAAGCAAGGGGAGCAGCAGAGGGAGAGGGAGAAGCAGGCTCCCCACTGAGCATCGAGCCTGGACAAGGGGCATGATCCCAGGACTCTGGGATCATGACCAGAGCTGAAGGCAGACGCTTAACCGACTGAGCCACCCAGGTGCCCCACATCACAGGCTTTTTTATGTAGAAGTTGGCAGAGTGTGTGGTGGCTAAAAGGCAAGTTCTGGTCCCACTGCTTGGGAATGTAGTTCTGTGGCTTCCTTTCTTACCCAGAGTATGATTTGGGGCATGGTAACTAACCTTCTAGGCCCTGATTTCCTCCTTGCTAAAATAGGAATAATAATATTTCGCAAGTTGGTGTAAGGATTAAACAGAATAAGGCCTACAAATTGCTTAGCCCCATGCCTGACACACAGAGGTCTTCAGTAAATATTAACTGCTATCTCCAAAGGGTTCAACTTCCAAAGGAAAATCAGATTGCATATTAATGATCAGAAACTGGATTCTGGAAGTTCAATGTCATTTGTTTGACCAGGCTTAAGTGGGTCTTTTATTTTTAAGTGTGATAAATGAATAATTTTAAACTCTTTCAGGTGTTGGATAAAGGTTCTAAAACAGAGGTTCTCAACCTTGGCTGCAGGTTAGAATCACCCAGGTTGATTTAAAACCCTTGATACCCATGTCACAGCCCAGATTAATTATATCAGAGTCTCTGGGGGTGGGAGCAAGCCATCGGAGTAGTTTTAACAATCCTCAGGTGATTTCAATGAACAATCAAATAAAGTTCTCATTTGCTCTAACGTTCTGAAACCACGATGGAGTCACATTAATAGCAGGGAAGTAGCTCAGAAGAACAGTCCCCCGGCCATGGCCAAGATGAAGTTTTCCATGGGAGGCTGAAAGGATTCTATGTCATCATAGAAGATGAATCTAAAGAACACTGATTTTCATCCGTACCACTTTGTGGGTATCAAAACAAACTCTATATTCTTAGCAAAGCCCTATAGAGTGAGCCTATCCTAAGAACTTAAAGCTCACTTGTTTAGATTTTTCTCATAGCAAATTGATTAGTAGTGTAGGCAAAAACGTGTTTATGTTCTATCAGCCTCCGAAGCTGAATTCTGGAATCTCACTGAAACATCACTCATTAACTGACCTATCAATTGGGTCAGGCATTAATTAAAGTCTAGGATCAGCTGGAGGGAGAGGGGAATGTAGAGTTATTGGGTTTCAGTTTGGGGTGATGAAAAAAAGGTTCTGGAGAAGGATGGTGGTGCTGCAGTCTGTGTTCTTTTACCTGATGGCCAGTTAGGGGCGGCCACCAGAGGAGCACGGGAGAGGCTCAGGAAAATAAAGTTTATCATACTGACTGGTCCTGTGCACAGCACCAGGGCCACAAGAGAAAACAGTAGTGTGGGTCTGGAGACAGAAGGGACAGAAGCAGGCGGACAACGTGGGCCTTTACAGAGGAATATTGCCTCCTGGGATATAGGGTCAGATGGAGGGCCTCGCCCCCCCCCCCACCCCGCTTGGTTACTTTGCATAGCAAAGGACTGCTTCAGGGGAGCCCTGGACTGTTCTTAAGAATGTAGCCCTGGGGAGGGGCAGTCTCTTCCCTGCCAGAAAGCTTTTAAGATGTCAAAGCATCTTGATATACAGAAAACAAAAAACATAGACAATACAGTTGCACAACAATATAAATGTACTTAATGTCACTGATGATACACTTGAAAATGGTTAAAATGGTAGATTTTATGCTATGTGTATTTCACAATCAAAAACAAACCCAGTATCCACAGTATCAAAAACCGTGAACTCTAGGCAAGAGGCAAGACCCAAAGGGGGGAAAAAATGGGGAGGTCGGAGAAGACAAAACTTACATCAGGAACTTCAAGGGTCACTTTTCCCAGCGTCAAAAGAAGAAATTGCCTTCTATAAAATCTTGGCCACCTCCTGAGATGCAAATTTTAAGCATTTCTAAAAATTACCCAGCATAGTGGATAAAAAGGAAAGGAAACAAATAGTACAGAATTGCTTCTTCCTCTAAAACCGTTTTTCACTTCTCATTGCTCTGTCACTCTAACAAGATCAGTCCAATGATACTGTACAGGTCATTTGCCACTGAAAACCTGACTCATCTCCATTTGTGATGCCGGAGCACTGAACCCTCGCCACACCGCCCAGTATGGCTGCCCAATTCACTGTCATCGCATGCTTTGGTGAAGCTCAATCATAAACTCCGCTACAGACTTTTTCTCCAACAGAGCGTCAGTTGTTTGTGTAGTAACTAATATACTTGAATCTATCAGACTTTTGTACGCTCTTATCCCGAATTTCTACACTCCCAAATCGCTCCTTAGACATACCATATAAGTACTGTATATTTCTCAGCCAAAATAGTTTGGCTGACAAGAAAATGATTGCTCCATTGCATATTCCCACCTAACTTTCCTCTTCTCTGTATAATCAGGGAAATCCACCATCACTTCTTCTTTTTCCTTGCTCATGTGCCAAGTCTCTCCTCCATCCCCTATTCCAAGATCCTCTGGCATAAACACCTATGGCTGCCAAACCTTCCTGCTCTTGCGCTAACATAAGCAACCCAAAGATGACTACTCTTCTCCATCCCTGCAATTCGCTTTGTATAACCAGTTGCCAGATGCCTGCGGAATAAGTACCAGGGGAAAAGGAAATAAACCATTCCTTTTTCTGGGAAAGGACTGTGGAGGAATGAAGTTGTAGGTCTCTAACTCACTCCCCTGGTAAGAAAGTCCCTAGAACATTATACAAAATTGGTTTCAAAGATTGGGTATGAGGGGCGCCTGGGTGGCTCAGTCGGTTAAGCATCTTCCTTCAGCTCCGGTCATGATCCCAGGGTCTTGGGATCCAGCCCCGAGGCAGGCTTCCTGTTCAGTGGGGAGTCTGCTTCTCCTTCTCCCTCTCCCCTGACCCCCGCTCCTGTGTTCACTCTCTCTCTCTTTCTCTCTCAAATAAATCTTAAAAAAAAAAAAAAGACTGGGTGTGATTTCTTTCCATTTGTTTTTCTCTTTTCTGTAAGCTATGTGAAGTGTTTGATCATTACCAAGCATGTCCTGTTCTATTCCTTTCAATCTTACCAAAAAGTTGCATTGATCCCAAAATATATAAGGAATCAGATGAGAGCTGGTATACCCATTTGAAAACATTAGTCAGTGTGCAAAGATATGTCAGGTTTCCAGTATTTAGAATATTGTTCTAAAGGCCTTTGTTTTAATATAGGCTATCTGAATGTAGCCCATGGTTGAGCCCTTTACTGGTGTCAAGGAAGTTGTAATTTATGTCCTGAGTCTGCTAACTTTGCAGCCCTGGGAACTTGGGCAAGTCACCTAACTTCTCTGCATGTCAGTGTCCTCACTGGTAATCTGGAGATATGGACAACATTGTGGTACTTACTGAGCAAGCACTGTTTTAAATAGCATACACATACTACTTCCTGTCATCCTCCCAACAAACCTAAGAAGTAGTATTGCTATCATTATCACCCATTTTAAAGATGTAGTAACTGAGGCACAAAGAGGTTAGTTTTCTTTCCTGTGGTTCCAAAGCTATATATGGAGCCAGGATTGAAACCCAGGGAGTCCCATGTCCAGAACCATGCTCTGGGTACCTTTTCTCACTGAACTGTGATAATTAAATCAGATTAAATATTTGGACGTAAATGTAACATATTGTCATTACCTGTCCTGAAGTTCACTTCCTCGTCTGTCAGAAGGAGACAATACTTACATTTCAGAGTTTTTGTCAGGAATAAACATATGGAAGAAGACTGAGATTTTGCTACCCATCTGTCATCACCCCTGGTACACAAAAAAACACATTTTGCTCTTAAGAAATTGCACGTGCTCCAAGCCTGCCCACTGTTACAATATAAAACTAATATCATTTTTCCTTTTTGCTTCTTACAGATTTTTGCATATATGGATGAAACCGCCCAAAAAAACAAGTGGGACCTCCAAGCTCTTAGATTTTTATCAATCAATTCAATAATTGACCCTTGGGTCTTTGCCATCCTTAGGCCTCCTGTTCTGAGACTAATGCGTTCAGTCCTCTGTTGTCGGGTTTCGTTAAGAACACAAGATGCAGCACCAACTTCCTGTTCTCTACAGTCCAATGCCAGTAAATAGATTAACCTTTGTCGACAATAGTTAAGAAGTGCTTCATTAGCCAGCATCTGGAAGATCATTTTGAAATGGCTGCTTGGAGAAATGAAAAAAGTAAGTTTACAAATCCAACAACGCCACCCTAATAAAACAGAGTGAACAAACCTCTCAGCGATAGATTGGGGCTACAGAGGTGCTGACAAGGCACTTCATGGAAGGTGTTGGAAGGATCTATAAGACCAACCCTCCATGAGCAGGTCATGAGGTTGGTCTTTGGAGGAAAAACCAACTGCTTTGAGGATCCAGTTGCCTTTTGATTTAAGCTTTCTTGTTGAGTGAGAAAGCATGTAGCTTTGTAATTTGTTTAAAACCCTAAATAGTTACTGTGTTTTCTATTTTAATCTTCTAAGCTACTGTCGTTATAAACACGCAGTTTGCAGTCAGACCAGATGAAACTTTGTGTGTCTCCTCTAAGAAGGCAGTACATGGAAGCGACTAAGACCGGTGTCTTGTGTTGCTTAACAAACCCTTTTTCTGGCCAATGAATTTGGAAATCACAGGCACTTTGTACCGTCCTATTTGTGTATGTGGGAGGTCTCTTCAATCACCATGGTATTATGCGTGAAAGAGAAGGCTCAGCTGGTTAACGTCACCTTTTTACTAGTCCTCTAGAAGCTGTGTGTCAAAGCTGTGTGTCAAAGAAGCTGTGGTTATTTATTTTATAATGTCCATTGTGCTAAGAGTAATCAAGAACACTGTTGGAATTCTCCTTTCAACAAGAAATAATAGGCTATTAGGAGAATTTTAAATTCTGATTAATACTCTTCATTCTATTTCCAGGGAGGGGAAATGTGGCTATGTCTGAAGCTGAATATTAGAATTAAAAACTGAAAAATTTGGTCAATTCTCAATAAACCCTGAAACTCTTCTATTGCTCATGATGAGGCTGTGACTAACATTTACTTGATAAGATGACTGTGTTTTAGCAAAACTCATGCATCTACACTTTTATCCAGGAAACATGGTTTGACTCATACTATATAGGAAATCATGCAACAGTGAGTCATGTCTTAATATGTTTCTAAATCTAAACGTTTGGCATGGTATAAACCCGGCATCAAAATATTTCAGCAAATTTGCACTGTTCAATCATCTTAGTTACTGCGTAAATTCATCTGAAATGTTATGAAAATAAACTATGAAACAAAAATTTGAAAATGGAATAGTATTTGATGAATTCCCCCAAATAACAGTTTCTAGAGTAGATATAATATTTTTAATAAGATAAAAGTGGAAAAAATATATTTATTTTGGCAGGCAGGTTTTTAAAGTGTGGTTGCATTATAATTTAGATATTAAAATATTCAGTATAGTACTTGGTATTAGAGGAGTTTTTCCCCCTTACAGCATGATCTTCAGAATAGTAGAACCATTTTATTTATTTACTTATTTATTTTGCAGTGAGTATTATTACAGGATAGCTGTTATAAAAAAACAAAAAGGGATGTTGGTTTTTTTCCAGTCTCACTGAATTGCTTACACAGAACCATTTCCTATAAGTAGTTATCAAACTAGGTGATCACTTAAAGTGATTCCAAACCAATCCAGCATCAGACACAATCTATGTCAAATCAGCTCTTATTTTTAAAAGAATAAATAAGTGGTTTGCTTTTCTACTAATTTAAACAAACCAGGCAAAATTTAACTTAACTGAAATTTGGACAGGTAAATAAATCTTCCCTGCACACAAATATTCTAAAGTTAAGAAATCGTTCGAAATAGGATTAATTACGCTCATGAGTAATTCCTAAACATAAAATTCTTTGAATCTGGAAGACTGATTTCTTTTATCAGATGACTGTTTTTTCCACCAAATGAAAATGTTAACTACAATCCTTCACTCCACCTCACCACTCCCCAAAAATTCTGGAATAATGCCCGAGAACTTTTAAAAAAGAAAAGGCCATTTGGACATAGTACCACTAGTGGGAACACAATGATTCACGCTGGGGGCCCAATAATAAGAATTTAAGCCACTTGTTTAAGAACTAGTAGGTTTCTAGAGCTTTGTTTCTTAATGTACTCCTGTTCCTTGCATTGTGTTAAATGGCTAAATCCTGTTGTTTCGTCTGCATATACAAAGAAGGAATTGAATGTAAAAATCCTATGTAATAGTCAATCACCTATTACTAATGGCAATTTAAAGGTAACAAAAAAATTTACCTAGAATAGGTACGTAAATATTTCCTTTCTAAAAATCTCATCACATCAGACATGCCTGTTTACACTTACTGACTCATTTTCAAATTAAATAAAAAGCAAGGGCTTAGCCTGGTATATTAGAGAACTGAACTGTGATAAAAGAAGATACCAATTTTATTCATTGTCCCCGACAGTCAGTGGGATGAAAAGGGAGAAACTATAGTGGATTTTCACCTCAGAATGCCAGCCCTAAATTTAGGTGTGCAGGAATTGGATGGGCCAGAGTAGTCGGCCCTGAGCCAAATTGTTCCCAGTTCCCTGTGGCCTCAGGTCATCCAAGAGGGAACTGGGAAATTCTGGTACTAAAGTGTGGCCTTGAATCTCCAAAGATCCGATAGACGCTATAGAAAGCCTCCGGAAGACCTGAATCTCAAAGTGGTTTGGGCCCATGACAACCCAGAGCCAGAGCAAAGCTCTAGAAGCAGTGCCAACCCAAAACCACCATGTTGGCAGAGGCTGGGAAAATCCAGTCTGAATCACTACATCCTCGGTGTAATTCAGTTAAATTTTTGGCATCCCTGTCTGCTTATGCCAGTGCACTTTGAAAGGGTTGTTCTAATGTTCACGTGATGTCAGCTCTGATTGGAATCAAGAAAAAAACCAGTATATTCAGGTTTAAATTTTGATGGCATTGAAAGGCAGGGGAAGACAATTAGCTGGCACTCATGTAAAGGTTTGTTTATTTCATTTAGCCAAAACTCATGGTTTTCTGAATTTAGGAAGAGCCCCCACTTGAGCCATTTACAGATGGAGAAGCAGTCTTCTCTGCAAATGAGAAGTTTCTATGTGTGGGCGGACAATGCCTACTCATGCAGGTGGTGTTGCAACTTAAGTATTTGATGACGATCTTCTGCCCCATCACACACTTAACTTCACTGGAGTTCCTCCCTGAGGATGCATTTATAACATACCTCCAATCACCTAACAGCATTATAATTTTTTTATTTTATTTTTTTATTTTTTTTAAGATTTTATTTATTTGAGAGAGAGAGAATGAGAGATAGAGAGCACGAGAGGGAAGAGGGTCAGAGGGAGAAGCAGACTCCCTGCTGAGCAAGGAGCCCGATGTGGGACTCGATCCCAGGACTCCAGGATCATGACCTGAGCCGAAGGCAGTCGCTTAACCAACTGAGCCACCCAGGCACCCAGCATTATAATTTTTTTAATTCACAAAGCATTTTTATTACCATAAATGCACACTATGGAAATAAGTATTATTTTAGCAAGTCACAAAAACTCTAGTCTCTACAGGAGACCAAGGACATGTACTGGGCATTAATTTTTATTTCAGAAAGCTACTTTTTGGGGGGGATAGATTTTACAATGCTTTTAATTGTTAAGTAAATTTTCTTGGATTATATTTTTTTATTCCCTATAAAATGAATGTACTATTAAAGTCCAGTTTGGATGGTTTAATTCCGTGACCAAAGTGTTTCATTTTTAAAATATGCCACGAGTCAAATCAGGGAAGTTTCCAGCAAAAAAAAGAGATGGCGTGCTCCATCTCTTTCGTGGACTGTTGAATGAAAGGAATATTTACAGAGGGGTGGGCATGTGCTCACTTCGGCAGCACATATACAGAGGGGGGCGCAGAGTTAAGGGAATCAGCAAGGGATGGTGAGATGTCCCTCACAAGCTCTTCCACTCCTCAGCCTGAAGGGACAACGGAGGAGCCATCACCCAATTGGAGCTGTAGCCTTAAGTAGGGAAGTAAGCACAACTGTTGCCAAACCACAGGGAGGCAACAAGGGGACTACCCTCCTGGAAGATCTCTCCTCCTACTCTCTACTCTTTGGCCTGTTTCTCCCATTGGCCAAACCCAACTGTAATCCACAGAGTCAGGGGAGCCTGGGTAAAGCAGTCCATGAAGGCCTTCCTACAGGGGGAGAGTAGATTAATAGAGGGCAAGTGGAGAATATCCAGCATAAGTAAATTAAAAATATGTTCTCTCTCTTTTTTTTTTTTTTATTGCACCAACACAAAAAATGAAACCACAAAGTGAGCAGCCTCTCTTCCTGCCTCCTACTTCAAATATCCTCTAACAAGCTTGGGGAATAGAAATCAGCCCCATCTATATGAAAGGGGATGAAATACTATAGATTCCTTCATCAAAATATTGGTCCTTAGCCCTGCTCTCCTGAGGCTGGGCGTTTACATTTATCTAACTTTGGAAGCATATGATTTTATATAATTGGAGAAAGAGAAGGGGGATCAGACCAAAGCATCTTTGTGTTTCCCCTGCCCGTAGCAATATAGCTATCTCTAGGCAGAACAAAGAGAGGGAACCATGTACGCTGGTCTAGAAATGACCTGGAGCCTCATTGTTAAGGTGGACCACTAGAGTGAGAGAAATCTAGAAAAACTCACTTAGGGGCACCTGGGTGGCTCAGTCTGTTAGGCATCTCACTCTTGGTTTCAGCTCAGGTTATGATCTCATGGGTTGTGGGATTAAGCCCCTCATCAGGCTCCATGCTCAGTGGGGTGTCTGCTTGAGGATTCTCTCCCTCTGCCCCTCCTCCCACTGGCGCTCTCTCTCTCATAAATAAGTAAATCTTAAAAAAAAAAGAAAGAAAGGAAAAGAAAAGAAAAACATCACTTAACAATGCAGGGCAGGTTGTTCCCAAATTTAACATAGCAGGGATGGGTCCACACAGCTATGGTAAAGAAAGAGTATGTGTAGCAATTCAGCAATACTGCATAATTTTAAATGCTGACAGAAGCACAAGGAAAAAGCAAATTTTTTTTTTAAAGATTTTATTTATTTGACAGAGACAGACACAGCGAGAGAGGGAACACAAGCAGAGGGAGTAGGAGAGGGAGAAGCAGGCCTCCCACGGAGCAGGGAGCCCGATGC